AGTTATATAGTCCTCGTCTGCTCGAACGAGTTCTTACAATTTCCGCATCCAATCATCGAAATGAGTCCATTCGAGAACGTGATCTCCTTTCCTTCATTGAGTGCTTTCTTTAGTGCAGTGACTCTGCAACGATGGTTCAAGTCAAATGACCCGTGGCCATAATCGATGAGGAGATAGTCGTCCCCTCCCTATAGAAGTAGTTGATCAGCTGGGACCCATACGACCCAACGACAAGTGCACCATACCTGTCTGTAAGACACAAGAGGCTGGTTCCCTTGTTCCTCAATTCGATGCACCACGCCTTTGCCGCGAGTCTCGGCTGTCTGCTCGGGAGGCATGCCTCTCAGCGCTTTCACGCTGTGGAATCCATGCCCTTGCTTGCAGCAATGCACCAGTTCGTCTACGAACCTCTCCATATCTCTCCGTGCATCCAGGGCATCAGCCAAAGACACTGCTCTGTATTTCAGGGTGTCCCCCGCTTTCACTTGTCCCAACTTCCATAGATCTGCCTTTACGATCGTATGGCTGCTAACAAAGCCCCCAAAGTCCGGGGCATCTTGTGGGAAGATAACGGGATCGTCACCTGTCCAGTTGACTGAGCCGATTGCGTATCCGTATTCTATCACATTAGAAGGATGTGCGCCGCCCTCTCCCCCATCGGAGCGAGCCCACTGTGGTTTGGGGCCGATGAGACGGATGCCTCCTCTTGCCGCATTGTGTGAAATCTTCCACTGAGTCTCAAACAACATCTCGATGCTCTCGGGGGTGAGATAGCCCTCATCGTAGGGTCCTGGCATGGCTAGTAGCTCCCAGTGATTTGGGTAATCGGGGATAAGGTGTTCTGGTATACGGAGATCGCCATTGACTTCCGGAATCTCGCTTGTGATCGTGAGAAGGTCTCCCGATGACAGCTGCCGACCTTGATAACCTCCAACTCCCACACCTGGAGATGTCGACTTTGACCCAAACCATTTGGGCACGTTGAGGAATCCACCAAAGACAGCGAGGTAAGCCCTGCAGCCGTTTCCTGTAGTTTTACCGATAGTCAGACGCTGACCAGCGGCTACCTTGACTCTTGACCACATTGGAACTGTTTCTCCGTCGAGTTTAGCTTCAATCGGCGCTCCACAAAGGGAGATGATTGCTGGCCCGAGGAAGCGTAGATCCGGACCACTTAGGGTGATCTCCAGAGCCTCGAGCCCGACGGGGTTATTGACAAGGGCATTCGCGATGCGGAAAGCTAGGGGATCCATTGGCCCAGAATGACAAAAGCCCCTCCCTATGGTCGGTCGACCGGGCCAGTCTTCGATGAGCGTATAGGCGCCGCCCGAGATGACGTCGATTGCTGACGGGGTGTACTGGAAATTGTCCAGAAATCTTGTCAATGTGTTGCCTGCAACAAAGGCCTCCTCTTCTAGAATCTTAACCAGGAAATCCAGATTGGTTGGAGGCCCGCAGATGCGTGATTTTTCTAGAATTTCCCTCATTCCCAGTATGGTCTGCTGTCTATCTGGCGAGTGGTACATGACCTTCGCGAGTAGGGGATCTATATGTTTCTGTCAGCCCAGCCAAAGTACCAAAAAAAGGATGTTGCTCGTGAGATATACCGTAATTGGCGGATACCTTGATGCCGCGATAGATCCATGTATCGATCCTCGAACCTGGTATTTCCTTCCATTCGACGGTTTGCAAGGTTCCAGGACAGGGGGCGAAATCCTTGGTCGGATTTTCAGCATACACTCTTGCTTCAATAGCAGCGCCAGAAGGGGTTTCCGCGGGTAAGGCTTCAAGAAAAGATGCTTCAACCCCCTTCTTCCCAGAAAGCTGGGCATCCGCTTGATCTAGCATGAGTTCAACCAAGTCCATGCCATAGCAGAGTTCAGTTATCCCGTGCTCAACCTGTAGGCGAGTGTTCATCTCGAGAAAGAAGAATGCGCCAGTTTCATCATCGACGAGATATTCAATCGTCCCTGCTGAACCATACTTGATCGATTCGGCCAGACGGACGGCAGCCTCACCCAAGCTTTTTCGCAACCCTGGTTTTCTGGAGACGAAAGGGCTGGGACATTCTTCAATCACCTTCTGATGCCTTCTTTGTATCGAACATTCTCTCTCACCAATAAAGATTGCCTTACCATCCCCGTTGCCAAACACCTGAACTTCTATGTGATGGCTCGCCGGATAATAACGCTCAATGAACACACCCGCGTTCTTGAATAATGCTTCCCCTCGCGACTTGACAGTTGCAAAGGACTTGCGCACTTCGGCCTCGGAATTGCATGTAAGCAAGCCCATCCCACCACCACCAGCGGTGGCTTTCAGCATGACCTGCACCACCCATTAGCCTCGCTAAAATGATTCTCTCTCCTGTTTCGCGATGCATACTGGATACCCCAACTTCTGAGCCACCTCCACGGCGTCATCTTCATTGTCGATCAGGCCAGGTGATCCCGGCACGATGGGAACTCCGGCCTTCGTCGCAAGTTCTCGCGCGGTATGCTTGAGGCCAAAAGCCTCGATGCTCTCAGGGGAGGGTCCAACGAATACTAGACCAGCGGCAGCCACAGCCCTCGCAAAATCTGCATTCTCAGATAAGAATCCATAACCTGGGATAATCGCATTCGCATTGTTCTGCTTTGCAATCTGAATAATTTGATCACTGGAGACTCCTGGGTCAGATTAATCTCGAAAGGAGGAAAGTAGACTCACCCGTCAATATATGCTTTTGAAGCAGAACCAGAGAGGAGAACAGCGACATCCGCTAGATGAACATGAATAGAGGCAGCGTCAGGCTCGGTATAGATCGCAATTGTACGAAGATTCAGCTTCCTGGATCACAACGTCAGAGCTAACCCGCAGCTTGAGCTTGCGTCACCTACTTTGCGGTCTTGATAATTCTCACGGCGATTTCGCCTCTGTTGGCAACGAGAAGAGTCTTTAAACAATCCATCGCGATGCAGAGCAGTAGCTAGCGATGCGCCTTGGAGCAACATAACTTGGGCGCAATCCGCTTAAAAGGAACATTATCTGAACTGAAGGATCAGGACCTCGGCGCCGTACTCCAATGAAAGGAAGGTACGGAGTAACACCTGGGGTCAATGGCAGATAACGAGGGATGATCGTCGTGGGGTATGGCCGCGCTCGGCGTTGGAGATTTGGAGAAAATGCGGAGAATCCGTCTATGCCGTCATGACTGATAGGCTCCAAACCCCTCGGTCCAAAGTTTCACTCAGCCGAGCGAGGAGTTGAAAAGACCGAATTTTGGGGTATATCTATATTGCTTGCCACTTGGTCCTTGCTTGACCACTTCCCCAAGTCTTTTCTGGAAGTTATCCATTGTTGAGGAACTTTGCAACTTTTCCAACTTCGGGCGGATCGCGATATAAAGCACTATGGCACCGATACAGCAGAAGGCACTTATCAATTGTGACATGGGGGAGGCTGTAAGTATATACGCTTCCTGAGCTTAACACGCTCGTTATGGTCGCATTACTGACGTCCTCATAGTACGGCAACTGGACCTGCGGTCCTGACCTCGAGCTCCTCCCAATGATTGATATCGCCAATATTGCCTGCGGATTCCATGGGGGCGACCCGCTTATTATGATGGAAACAGTGCGAAATTGCAAAGCTCATAATGTTCGAATCGGTGCTCACCCGGGTCTTCCAGACCTGCAAGGGTTCGGTCGTCGGGAGATGAAGCTCTCCCCAGAAGAGCTTACCGCAATCACAATCTACCAGGTCGGGGCGCTCCAAGGCTTCCTCGACCGCGAAGGAGCTCCCCTGCACCATGTAAAGCCTCATGGGGTATTGTACGGTATGATGTGCCGGGACTATGAAGTTGCCAAGGCGGTTATGCTGGGAATTCCAAAAGGTGTGCCGGTGTTTGGACTGGCAGGCACTCAGATGGAGAAAGCTGCCAACGATCTGGGGATCGAGTTCTGGGCTGAGCTATATGGCGATGTGAAATACGACTCGAACGGCATGCTTGTGATTGATCGGAAGAAGAAGCCCTGGAACCTCGCAGATGTTGAGAAGCATGTCAGACAGCAGATCGAAGAGCAGTCAGTCACGGCGGTTGATGGGACTATTGTGCAACTGCCACTGAAAACGTACCCGGTCTCAATCTGCTGCCACTCTGACTCTCCTGGATGCGTTGACATCATCAGGACGACGAGAAAGGCAGTGGATGAATTCAATGCCAGACACGGGAGATGAAGGCTGTTTTAGCATATAAATAGCGTGTTTCTCCATATTGGAAATCATGAGGACGAAGAAAACAGCGAGCCCCACCAAAAACCTTCTCCCATTATTTCAAATCTGTACTGTGTACGCCTTTCCAGACGGATCGGCACACTTGACGCCGTTTTGCGAGTCCTTAGCGTCACGTGCGGTAATCGCACGCCCACCAGGTTTACCACCACGGCCCGCCCTATGTCAACTATACATAGTATACCTCTTGTCTCTTGAGGAGGGAGCCATTTTCGGCTCTATGGCGCTCTCACAACTTGCCTCCTTTCGGTTTCAAGCAACTTACCACAACACACCACCAACAAATCTGTCTCTCACTGACCAGTTTCAAAACAGCTGGAAAAGCTATTCTTCAACCTCCTTCGAGCACGACGGTATGTAATTATACGCGAGTTTAGAGCCTCAGCGGTGAACGTAGTTGTAGCTCACCACCTGAACCTTATGTGTCTTTCCGCTCCTGCATGATCATCAAGCCTCCTTGTAATATCATCGTTCCAAAGTATTCTCAGACTATCAGCTTACCTGTTCGGGGTCCCTCTGCGGGGGATCTGTTGAGGATATGCGCGGATCCCGCTGATCCTTCTGCTCCGTCCGAATAACATATCACGTTAAAGTAAGAAACAAGCGAGTTCCCGATCGCCAGTATCATCAACACTTAGATAACATGAATCCAGCCTGTCGTCTCAAAGATATAATCAATACTAAGCTTTATGGCCTCGCTATCTGGTAGTCACTTCACATTTCCAAACATGGCACCCTCACTTGATTCGGCCGTGGAGCCACTGACCGAATACAAAGAAATACCATTTCCCAGAACTCAAGATGATCTGTCGCAGTACAAAGGCCCCGACTGTATGGCCCCTGACAAAGAAATCCATACTGCATACTTTTCGCCGCGTGGAAGCCACAGCAGTCACGGTTCTCACGACTCCATCGCCTCCTCCAGTATAAGCCTCGACGACCCCCAGATGTCGGACTTGATCACTCGGTCGAATGTATTCCATGACACCTCGGACACGATCGATGCAAAGTTGTCGATGTACTGGGAAGCGGCGAATGAAACGGTAGGTGCCTGACCAACTAGCTAATCAGCCATGAGAGTGTGAATCTTACATCTTCTTTTTTTTTTTTTATATAGGTGATCCGGGAGCCATACGACTACATCGCCGGAATCCCAGGCAAAGAGATCCGCCGAAAGCTCTTGGAGGCATTCAACCACTGGTACAAAGTCGACGAGCAACCATGCCAGGCTATTGCAGCCACAGTTGGCATGGCACATAATGCATCACTGCTGTATGTTGCCATGTCTGTCTCTGGGCTCGATCGCTTTTGCATTGGGCTAAAGAAGCAATTCACAGCATCGACGATATCCAAGACAGTTCCAAGCTCCGAAGAGGTGTGCCATGCGCACACGAGGTGTATGGCGTTGCCCAGACCATCAATTCCGCTAACTATGTCTACTTTCTGGCTCAGGACCAGCTGTTTAGACTCCGGAACTGGCCGCAGGCGATTTCAGTATTCAACGAAGAAATGGTCAACTTGCACCGCGGTCAAGGCATGGAGCTGTTTTGGCGGGATAATTTGTTGCCTCCGTCCATGGATGACTATCTTCAGATGATCGCTAACAAGACAGGTGGACTGTTTCGGATGGCTGTGCGTCTGCTCCAGACAAGCAGCAGACACGTCGTAGACGTTGAGCAATTGGTGGATGTTCTTGGACTTTACTTTCAAATACTCGACGATTACAAGAACGTCAAAGAAGAGAAGGTTCGTCTCAGTCAAATCAAGCCCGAGGGAGTATGAAGAGAGCGCTGACGATCACAAGATGGCCGCTCAGAAAGGGTTCTTCGAAGACCTAACGGAGGGCAAATTCTCGTTCCCCATTTGCCATGCAATCAGAGAAGGGAACAAAAACAGAGATATGCTGCTCCATATGATGAGGCTCAAAACGGAAGACCTGGAGGTCAAGCTAGAAGCAGTCCGCATCCTGGAGGCTGCAGGCAGTCTGGATTACACGCGAGAGGTACTTTATGGGCTGGACAGAAAGGCTCGCAGTCTTCTTCGGGATTTCAAGGCCCCGAACCCATTCATGGAGGCTCTTTTGGACGAATTGTTGAGCAGCCTTCAGGCCTGCCATTGAGGATCATCAGATGGGCTATGACAATACTGCCGCATATGATTAGATAATGAGTCAATGACATTGTTTCTTTTTTCTTTTTGACATTGATGTACCTCTAGAAGCCTGCCCTAAATACTACAAATCTTCTCCTAACCTTGTTGAATACTAGATCATTTGCTACTTACAACGTGCAGCAATTATTGCATGTCTTTGGACTCAGGCGTAACAACCCACCTGAGATGGCCACGTATAAATTACCCGGAGTTTCTAACCAGGCGAGCATAGCTATGTGTGTCTGCTTATAGTCACTGATTCACAGACGTTTCTAGGGTACAACCGTATAGAATAGCAGATGCAGCATTGAAAAGCCGCATCATCCCTAACTAGGAGTAGATTGGCAGGGTTGAGTAGGCTATATCAGACCGTTCCAGCTGATCCACCACATTGTGCCGCCACGCGGAAATGAATGTGCGATAGGACCTCCCATTGATCGTGTCCCGCGAAGAGACATGATCAGCGAGCTGTCACTACCATTTCGGCGTCTGGCTTGAAAACTCTTATTCTGTCGTGCGGGATCTCAACCTGCCGAATGTGGTCGGATCCCCTGGATCCTTCGATCCTATGGACGGATTGTGTCGGTGGATTTTCGGCCTAGCATGTTTTCTTCCAGGTACATTTGAATCTTTATCAGAAATGCTAATAAATAAATTCATACGTAGTGTATACTGAAGGGATTCTCGCGTATTAAACGGAAGCATTTATCCCCCCACCAACCCACGGCGCTCTGCTTTCAGGAAAACAAGAAGATACCCTAGGCGTTAACAATAACATCAACAGGGCCTTCCACGGCCCCATCAGTCCTCAGCGATATGGATACGTTCCCATCCCTGACTCCTCCGTGGAATGCAGCAGGGGGTTTCCTGAGATCGTATTTCGACATGGCGGCCTCAGCAGGGAAAGCCGCCAGGGATTATCTCCGGAGCCACGAACACTCTGCCCGAGCCTGCCTAAGTATATGCGTCGTTTACGCTTTGTTTGTGTGGATGCTACCCATTAGAATCCCGATTACAGTCGAGGGTATGACGACATCGCTGGGGATACCACAGATCCAGCACTTGGATCAATGGGAGACCTTCCTGCGGGTACATGCCGACCTGGATGCGGATGTCTCCAAGTTCGAACATCTGGCTGCTGTACGGGCCCCCTCGCCCAATACAATACAGACAATCCATGCTAATGCATAGTTCAAGGTCCAGATCAATAATGATAGGTAGGTTAGGTGTAACAAGACAGAAGCTCTACGATGAGGCCGACTACTAAAAGGCATGCAGTCATACGGATTCTTCTATGCAGCATAGCGACGCGTGGCTGGAACGTGTTCGCCAGGCCTGTGAGACCAGCCCCAAGGCCGAAACACAGCTGCTGGCCATGCACCGGGGTCTTGCGGATCAAGACAGTGCGAGTGTATCGGTACCGTCGGCTGCCGACGGTAGCAGTGGTCAAGGGCAAACGTCTCACCGGATATATCTCTTCAAGTGTGGAGATATCACCGACGTGCTTGATCAGAGAGAAGACATCCGGCTGAACCGTGCCGTTGTACACAACATTATAATCGGCGCCCATCTCAACAGCAGAGCAACGGGAGCTTTATTGATCGGCGCTCTCACGCATTGGGTACCCCAGCTGGCCCTCGCGGCAGCATTGGCCCTGACTGTGTTCGGGCCATGGAGCTCCATGACGCGAAGGGCATCCTACTCGCCTACCGGATTACCGATCAGACCAGCGCATTCACGAACAGTAGCAACTCGGCCACCACCAGTGCCGAGGGAGGTTGCCGCCAGACCCAGTGCCGGTCCCGGCCACGGTAAACGCCCATCTGAGGCGGAGATACGCGCCATGCCCGACAGTCAGATCATCGGGCTGGGCACGCGGAGCCAGTTACCCCTCTACAGCCTTGAACGCGCTCTTCAAGACCCGCTCCGGGCCGTTAAGCTGCGGCGGCAGATAGTCTCCCAGCACCAAGCCACCAGCGACATCAATTTCTCGGTGGAGGGCTCAGCGCTCCCGTACGAAGGGTACGACTACCAGTCGGTCCTTGGAGCCTGCTGCGAGAATGTGATCGGGTACATGCCTATTCCCCTGGGTGTGGCTGGTCCAATCAAAGTCAACGGAAAGGCTGTGTTTCTCCCCATGGCCACGACAGAGGGCGCGCTGGTTGCGAGCACAAACCGTGGCTGCATGGCGATCAATGCAGGTGGAGGCGTGACCGCTCTAGTACTAGGCGATGGCATGGCCCGGGCGCCTATCGTACAATTTCCCAGTCTTGAGGAAGCCGGCGCTGCGAAACGATGGCTCGACTCCGAAGCAGGCTTCCGCATAATTGAGGAGGCCTTCAATGCAACCAGCCGCTTCGCCCGGCTGCAAAACGTCAGGGCAACGGTCGTTGGCTCTGACCTCTATATCCGGTTCACGGCCAGCACGGGAGACGCAATGGGCATGAACATGATCTCCAAAGGAGTGGAGCAGATTCTGGAGGCAATGAGAAAGCACGGATTCGAGTCCATGGATATCGTCTCGTTATCAGGGAACTTCTGTGCGGATAAAAAGCCGGCGGCCGTGAACTGGATCGAGGGGCGAGGTAAGACCGTGAGCGCGCAGGCGACTATTCCGGGACACGTGGTTCGAGAGACGCTCAAGACCAGTGTTGAAGCCCTCGTGGAACTCAATGTGTCCAAGAACCTGGTTGGCAGTGCCGTTGCGGGGTCTCTAGGAGGATTCAACGCCCATGCTGCCAATGTTGTCACTGCGATTTATCTTGCCACTGGCCAGGATCCCGCACAGAATGTGCAAAGCAGCAGCACTCTTACCGTGATGAAAAAGTGAGTAGAACTCTCCTAAGCATACTCTGATAGAGATTAACATTCGAGCAGTGTGAATGGTGATTTGCAAATCTCTGTTTTCATGCCTTCAATCGAAGTCGGTACTGTTGGGGGAGGGACAGTCCTGAGCCCACAAAAGGCAATGCTAGGGATGATGGGTGTCCAAGGTGCCCACCCAGAGCAGCCAGGCAGAAACGCGCAGGAACTGGCCCTGCTGGTGGCGTCTGGCGTGCTGGCTGGAGAGCTCAGTCTTTGCTCTGCTCTTGCCGCGGGCTCCTTGGTACAAAGCCACTTGGCCCATAACCGAAAGAAAGAATGATGAACCCGATGACGATTCGCAGATTATGACTACAGAGTAGACGAAAATTTGTCTAGGAAGCATAAAATATCAATAGTGTCCATGCTCACCTCCCTTCAAGTGCTGTTCTATATAACTGATTCATGCTTCTACTATAAGCTTATTTCTCGGGGCATCTGCAGAAGATGTCCCTTTGACAAACTGGTTTGCGATCGTCATATTCCGAGTAAGCCTTGCTTTGTTTGAACATACCTTTGGTGCTTATAGATGCTTCAGCGAGCCATTTCCATTTCCGTTTGATGAATGATGATGAGATACCATACCGACGAAATGATTGTGATCGTTAACTTTCTAAAAGGTCTTGAACTGGTTGATCTAATCAAAACACATACAAGGTTTAGGACGCCAAGTGAAGCAAACCAACCCGCCAGCGCTTAGAAACAAAACATACACAGACTCCTAGATTGTGATCATTTGTTTCTATCTGAGATATTTTCCTTCATTGCTGCGTCTGGATCAAAGCCAGGAGGAGGGATTGGGGAGAAGGGCGCGTCTGAATTGTACAAGTCAAAGCCCATGTTTGAGAATTGGCTCCAGTCCATACCGACGTACGCAGTGTCGCCCATCTGATCTATATCCGGGAGGTCGCCGAGACGTTGGCCTGCCGCAAGCGGAACAGCCTCCTGCATAAGATCAGGGGCTTCCTTCCGAGGAAAACAAGATTCGGTAGCCCGGGACATTGACTGGAAAGGTGGGGGGGCTATTGAGAAATCAGTGCCGAGGGGTGGTTCGAGCGAAAAGGCCAGAGTATCCACATCCGTGGACGCCAGCGACGGAACCCAAGACGCCGGACCTCGTGAACTGGAAGCGACTATTGATCCATCATCCGAGGCGGCTTCGACCATGTTCATGGCGTGCGCGTCTCGGCTATGGGATGGGGGTCTCAACTCCCACACAGTGAGCCATGACCCAGCCTGCTGTAACCTCTGGCGATTACCCTCTTCTCCGCTTTCAAACCACGATCGCATTCTGATGAACACGGTGGTTAGTTTCGTAGCGGGCCATAAAGGGCCCCATCCCGCGGTCATCTGGATAACGCGATTGAGGCGCTCAGAGACCTTGAGTTGGTTGACCTGCAACACAGCGTCCTGAGCTGGTAGTTTGACTGCCGCGAAGTATAATTTGACTAGGATGATGAATGTGTAGATTGTCCGAATCAGGTACACTGTGGGTAGGACTCGAATGGTCGACATATCCAGTGAGGTGAACACTCGAAAGATGTTGTCTATGGTTTCCATAAACTCAGTAATTGCATGTGGCTCGATCGCCACGATCAGTGTTGGTGGTGTCAAGCACTGGGTGTCATCTTCACTGGGAACATCATCACTCATCGCTGTGCAGTGGGCCACTTCGTTTATGTATAAGCAGGAGAAATAATATGAAAACTCGAGCGACTCTTTACAACATTATGTCAGTCGATGGGCAGGAAATCAAGGACAAAAAGGAAGGAGCACCATCCCAACCATCAGCAACGTCTCTCCGCCATTCATTGAGCTGCCGTTTGAAAGCACGATGGGTCACTTGGATCTGGATCGCTCGTGATTTCTCAGGAGCAGAAGTCTCTTCCATGGATAAATGCATCACGAATTCTTCAGTTATATGCTGCAGCCGGATATGCTGACACAGAAGCCTGTCTGATGGAAGGGCCACTGGGGAAGCTTCCAATACTTCCAGACATTCGTCCATCAGACGGGTCCATCTCATGACGTTCGGGGCGCGGAGGGACATGGAGGTACTGCACAGACTAGGTTAACGCCGCAGCGCTTTCCGGGGATGCATTTCTCTCCCTTACTTCGAGCAAATATAGTGACACCCTAGCCACACTCGCCGAGCTTCCAGCGACTCCGCCTGGAAGGCGCTTCCAGGACCCTTTAGCTTCTCCCGCCGGGGAAACATGGGGCCGCCCCAAGATTTGGCGTTCAAACTCTCCCCTAATCCCATGATCAGGGCCATATTGGCTGCTGTGTGACTAATCTGGTAGATGTCCATCTGTTCCCCAGGCTCGACAGGCTCAATTATGCGATACCATGTGGCAGATACAATCAAGGCCTGGAGCAATCCAAGAGTATACTGTTCAGTTCGGAGCATGCAATATATATAGGCCTGAACAATCAGCTTCCGGAGTTTCCTTTGAGTTTCAAGCGCACAGAATCCCGATGATGCCACATCGAGAATCGCTAGAAAAAGAATAGGGTTATTACTTCGGACGTCAGCCGCTGTGGTGCCTGGTGGAAAGATGACAACTGGGAATGTAGGTGCCATGTTAGTCACATAATGACTGAAAATTGTTTCCGTGGTATGATCATCAAGGTCTGTGATGTTGTTATCCAGCCACAATTGTATGCTAGATTTCAGATCTTCTGTCCCAGAAGGATGGTCGGCCATGTTAGCAATGAATGCAACTCGCGACTTCCGGACTGGTTCCGGGCAGACCCACCATTGAACGGTATCACGGATCCCATGGACGGGTTCCGATCATGTTGTTGGGTGTTGTGCGACAATTCTGAAGGTGAACAGACAGCGCTGTCCTGCATTTCTGCAGACGATAACATCAATTCAATTCGCGATTCCATCTCCAGGATGCGTTGTCTCTTCCCTGGTTGGCTCGCCGCATCAATGCAAAGCTTGCCTGATTTCTGGCACCGGAGACACGGCATGCCAGGATTAGGCTGGTCGCATCTTACTTTAGAGGCACGGCATGACTGGCATGCTCGCAGATTATTGCTGTGGAGTGGAAAAGCTTGTAAATAAAATGTGTTGGTGATCTCATCGGCTTGGACACGTTTTACTCACAATTTCTGGCACTGAGCCTGCCTCTGCTGGGATTGCTGCTGCTCTTCTCCCATGCTCACATCCCCCGATTCCGCACCTTCATTGTCAGGAGGTGAAAAAGGTAAATTTCCTCCCGGAATCCACGGAGGCATGTTGTGATATTGATGGTACAAGTGAGTAAATGATCAGAAGGGACGGAGAGAAGAGAAGCGATCGAAAGCTGGCTGAAGCAAGGTGCTACTTACGTACGCCACATTCCCCTCTTTCAAGCAAGACAAAGATTAAGTAGTTTCACTAAGCATCGGATGCTGGAGCTAGTCGCCGAACATAACCTCGAGGAGCCCATCCGGCCTTCATCGACAATCTGATTGACTGATACTGTTGGGGAAACTGCCCAGACTTTTGACTATCCCTTAAGGTGCGTAGATAGTGCTGACTGTGTTCTTTGTAGCGAGTAGAGTTGCGTCTTAAGTGTTGGCTTGATAAATGTCTCACTCACATAGTAACCAACCTGTTGGGACTTGTTAGACCTCTCTACTTTGCCAAGGACATATGTAACCATGTAATCCTACATCCTGCGGCAGTAAATTGTCCAGAAGGCCTTATGATTGGAGTCCAGAAACGGGATCTGGTAACTCGCTTCTAGCCTACCGTAGATAGTTAGTTAACCCCTGCAAATAGGTCCAAGGCAGCAAGAGGACTACTACTCGGGGGGTCATGATAGGGTAGACCGTACAAGGAGCATTAGTTAGTCCATGCAGCTACTGCGGGGCCGTTGGTACTTTAGGTAGCCGACAGCCTCGTCCTGCATTGACAAGGGAAGAAGGGAAACATACGGAGATCCTATGTCAGATGGCGCTATTTAGGCTGTATTTCATCTTCCCGTCCAGACATCTCGTAAGCGACCACCGTACCCAACTTACCAGACTCCAACCTAGTAGTAAGTAGGAATGTCTATCTTTCCCTCCTTTCCTCCAGGGAGATACCTCTATGAAGTCAGACAGAACTCTATTAAAATACTCCTAGTTGTCTAAGGCCAGTCCAGACTGATCAGCGTGTCAGAACTCAGAAAATATAGGTTCTTAGCGGTTACAAAATTGGAAGTACGTCGTCTATCCTCCTCTGGAGAAATTCGGTATTCCAGCGGTTTTAGCCGCTATAAAAAGGGCTCAGTCTAGAATAGGGATATGTACAGCTGGGCCGCTGGTATGTCTAATTCTATATGTATTATTAGACACCACTAAGGGAAGCTAAGATTGGCGAGGCTGCGACACTGCTATTGGATCGTTATGTACGCACTATCTGGTTGACACGGATCTGATATCCGGAATTGACGACGATAGGATACACAGATCTATAGACAAGACGTAGAACTTGCAAAAGGCAATTGGCTTCATCGGTGCCCCCGGCAGAGATCTTTGGGAAAAAAAAAAAAAAAAAAAAAAAAAAAAAGACAAAACTCCAAAAGTACGGAGCACGCATTGCGGATGCCGGCAGTGTGGACTAGTAGAGTGTAGAGTATCGATTACGGAGTAAAAATATCCAACACTATAAGATTGCGAAAGCTACTGGACTTTATAAACAACAAAATAACAATACTGAAACGCGCCCCTAAAAATTTCGACCCTCTCCACGTTTCTAGACCAAAACTATCTCAGGTGTAATCTGCGCCTGCCCCTCAGCCACCATCCGTCTTCTCATGAGGAGACGTGCCGATGGATCTGGATACAGATTCTCATCGGCCGTTAGATTCCGGGGCCTCGACGCGCCCGGTGGGTATTTGAATTCGTAGTCGGTCAAAAGGTGTGCCATGATGATCTTGATCTCATTGGAGGCGAAAAAGCGGCCGGGACACGAGTATTTGCCGTGCCCAAAGTGGAGGTTGTTGTTGTCGGTCATGGCGAACTGGTGCTTGTTGGCTTCCTCGGGGTTAAGGCGCTTCTTGTAGTATCTGAATGCGTCGAATTGGTCGGCATCGGGCTCCACGGCGTTGTCCTGGAGAATGGCCGCGGAGGGCATGCTGAAGTGCGTTCCTTTGGGCAGAAGGGTGCCGTCCGAGAGAGTCAGGTCTTCCGAGACAATACGGTTAAATGCCACTGCGGTAGAAAGATGTTAGGGGAATCAATTATATAATACGAAAGGTAGCGCCTACACAAACTGGGAGGGTTGATGCGTTGGCTTTCCTTAAGGAAACTGTCCAGCTTGCGCATCTTGTTGAGAGTGGTCTTCTTCCAGCCGCCGTCCTGGGCTATCACGTCGTTGATCTCCTCGCGCAAAGGTTCAAAGTACTCGGGATGCTGGCAGAGGTCGTAGAAACAATGAGCCGCCGCCATGGTCGTGGTGTGGATGGAAGCAAGGCTCAGTAGGAGCTGACGGTGCGCCAGCTTGTCGGGCTGACCGTCGTTTTCATTAGCTCCGTCCATCATCCACTGGAGGAGATCGTTTGGCTTTTCATAAGTAGGGTCCCCCTTTGCCTCCTCTGCCCGGCGCTGGCGAACCATGGGACTGATGATACGCTTCGCTGTCCGCAGATTACTGTGGATAGCCCAGTAGCTGGGAAGCAAGTGTCCCACGATCGGGTGCATCCACTTGGGGAAACGCCGCAACAGCATGACTGTCGCAAAGACGTTCTCGGTGTAATGAATGGAGGTTTGGAGCCATTCCTCATTGCGGCAGGCCGGGACGCCCAGGAACACCCGCGCGGAAATGCGAGCGACGATGCGGAGGACGATGTGGAAGACGTTGACGTTTTGCCAGTCATGCAGATCCGCTGGGATCTCCTTCTCCATGGCGAAGTGGAGCTCAGACTCAATGACTTCGATGAACGAGCCGAGATTGGGGGTCAACTTGGTCTGCAACATGCGCGTGTGCAGGTCGCTCTCCAGGAGGATCAGCGTGGTTGAGTATTTCCCCAGGAGATTCTTGATGTGCGCGCGGATGGCGCTGATCTTCTCGTCGGGCAGGGATCGCAGTTCCTCAACATACTTGTTGGGGATGACCAAGATATCCGAGTCGTTGCGGGCGATCTTGAACATTGCGTTCTTGTACTACCCACTGCCATCAGCTGGAGCCCTGGAGTTAACGGTAGAATTTCGGACCTTTTCATATCCTTCGTTGACCTGCGCCAGAGCGCCCTGGGAGAAACGTAGTCCCACCAGCCATTTCGGCTCAAAAGAGGATCGGAAGCCCACGAAAGGTGCCTTGAAGGACTTTGTGCATGCAACCAAGGTTTGGAGCAAGTATATCACACTAAGGACACCGATGACCCCCAGATAGAGCTGCGAGCGATCGATGGACGATGATGAGTCGGGAGGTTTGAGGTTCCCAGTGTGCAAGGACAGCAAGGTATAGTTGTCCATTTTCGCTGCGGATTTATTTCTCCCAGTTCTTGTTTTTCTTTGTATACGAGGCAAGACAAGGCACCTTTGTTTGGTCGACATGTTGACGGGGGACCCTGCTTGGCTAAATATGTACCAACTCTACGACTCCATACAATGATGCCTACTACTACACTACTACCTGTAATCCTACGTCTCCCTCCGAAGGATGGTGTCGGCGGTACCGGGTCGGGCGAGGGATCATCCACTTTGGAGCCCACGGAGCTAGTCCTGCAAAGCGCAAAGATCTCTGTTGCCCAATATTATATTAATAATAATCATTCTTAAACTATAGTTACGTAGTATAGCTGACTAGACCGAAATGAGACGGACAGACTATACTTGGCCCCCGCCCGACATCAGCTTGTCTCCTCACTCGTTTAGGTACTCTCTTATTGTTGTCCACATTGTCTATTGCCGGATTACTCCACCACCACAATGGCCACATATCGGTATGACCTACCATGATCGCAATGAGAGACAAGCAGCTAACACAGCTTCATAGCGAAGCTTGGGGTCTTTTCCAAGATGAACCCGTGTTCCCTTCCAGTAGTACCGCTAGTTTGTCCAGCGAAACAGGACAAGGGATGAGGCAGAGCGCAGCATCGAGTACAATTTCTAAAACAGAACTCGTCTCGGAACTTCAGCGTCTTCGACAAGAGTTACAAGAGCTACAGTCTGCCAGGCAAGCATTCGCTCATAAACACAATTCTATTTCTCTTTCAGAATGTCACTGATTCCATTTCTTTCCAGTCATCCCAACCAAAATTCCAAAACCAGCGACCGACCTGAGTCGTTTTCCTCCACCACCCAACCAGACAATTCTCTCCCCCCTCGAGAACCGGGGTCCGAGAAGTCGGAAACATACCGCTGTTGGGAACCCTGTTGTAATGGCCGATTGTTTTCCAATCGAAGTAACTTGATCCGACATCAGCGGGAGCGAAGGGGAGAATCAGCAAAGCTGCGATGCTCCTTCTGTGATGCGGTCTTCTTGCGCAGCTCGGCCCGGAACGCGCATGAGGCTGCCAGGCGATGTCGTCGGTGACGAGATGGCAAGGAGGGAAAAAGGACACTATGGCTGGCCTTAAGTCTTTCTTAAATCATTATGCGAATGAAGAAAGAAATCGTCTAGAGCATCAGCTAGCAATGGTAGCCACACGAGCTGTCCAGCAATGTGTCATTCTATTGTCACTGACATGTCAATGGATGATCGATTCTGTATCCGGGACTGCCTGATGGCCATATACTGAGCTAGCATTCTTGCGTTCATATGCATCTATTTCACGGGTTCTGTCTAGTAGCATGTGGAAATCGAATCGCCCAAGGTCAAGTACATGGCCCATCAATAGATAGCAACACACCGACACTCGATGCTCTGACGAGCTGGGTACTGATCCTGATCGGGTAAACAGAACGCACCATGCGCCGTGCCGATGATTGCTTTTCCATTTCGGAAGCCTGAAGAGGAAAAAATCAAGGCTTCGGTTGGCTCCTGATCCCCGATATACCACCAGCTATGCTTCCCACCACTGCTCAACCCATCCGTTGGGCCTTCCCCGGTCGCCGGTCGGCCATCATATTTAATGACAAAGTTGGACGAATGCAGCCCGTTGTAATACTTCCGGTTGATCAGGAGCAGGTCCTCGGGCGGCATCTCGGTCGTATCAGCCACCATCAGGGGGTCTCGCTTCACCCGAGTCAGCGGGCGCCAGACGTTGATCACCTGGAAACTGCCGTTGCGAACCTCTTCAGCGAGATCGGGAAACATAAACTGCACGATACTGAGAGCGCCTTGTGGGGTTTGGTCAATGTGCACCCGATACGCGGGCCCCTCGACGCCCTGGTAGCGGTCTTTGATCTGCTCGCCGTACTCATTGCCCGTCCTGGTGCGAATCGCATGGTGGAAGGCGAGCACACGCTTGGCACCTGTTCTGCGGCAGGATTAGACTGGTACGGCAATGGAGACTGAAGAGCGAGGTACGCACACATCTTTGACCAGTTTCTCAATTTCTCCATAGTAGACCTTTTTGATCTGGCCTTCGTCGGTGGCATCCTTGAGCGTGGAGTGGAGCGTTGCGTACTGAAACCCGTTACGATCCAGCGAATATTGCTCCTTGTAGGGTCGCAGATCACGGATCCGCATTTTGTGGGAGATCATGTCCTTCTGGCCCAGCATGATGGCCATGTCGTTGGTGGCTGGCGGAGACCCATCGCTGTTGGGCACGTAGTAATTCACCACCGCGTCAACGCCGGGTGAAGATGTTGCATCAATCATGGTTAAGACAATGTAGACGGATAGAGATTGCTATGCTGGTCGCAGTCATATTGTTCAGTATGGTGATCTTGCCAGCCCAGGCCAGATAGATGATGTATGAATGGCCACTGTTGATGAGGATAACCCGGATAAGATTTCGCGCCGTCGGGACGGGAGGGATCGCGCGGTCCCGCTTCCGTTGATCCTTCGGCGGCGGATCACCGATGTGGCTTGCCTGGCGTCTAATGTAAATAAAAGCACAATCCTTCCAGTGGTCTTTGTTTCCTTTCATTTACATCTGAAAATGGTCTCTCTGAAGACAGTACAAGCATCCAACGCCAGTATTCGGGCCCTCCCCAACATCACTGCCTTATTTGTTGGCGGCACTAGTGGCATCGGCCAGAGCACCCTGCGCCAACTGGCTTGTAATGCCGACAGCCCTACAGCCTATATCATCGGTCGCAATGAGGCTCGTGCCAGTCCATTCTTATCTGAACTGCGGCAATTGAGTCCCAAGGGCTGCTTCCACTTTATTGAGGCGGACGTATCGCTAGTGCGCAATGTGGATGCTGCGTGCCAGCAGATTCTCCAGCAGGAGAAGCAGCTGAACTTTCTCTTTATGACTCCAGGAGGTATCTCTCTGGGGGGACGAAATGGTATGGATACAAGATGTATTTCAGGGAGTGCCTTAAGCTGACAAAAGGATACTAGAAACTGTTGAAGGCATAGACTATCTCTTTGCTCTCCGCTATTATTCCCGTATGCGTTTTATCCAGAATCTCCTCCCTCTCCTCGAGTCGTCTGGACCAAGCCGGGTAGTCAGTGTCTATGGTGGAGGCTTTGAGTACTCCATTAATACATCAGACCTTGACCTTAAGCATAACTTCTCACTGCTTAATGCCTACAAGCACTCCATTACCATGACCTCCCTGAGCATGGAGCACCTCGCCAGCACCCACCCTGCCATCAGTTTCATTCACGTCTACCCTGGCCTTGTTGGCACCAATATCTACACTAATAGCTTCCCTGCACCAGTTTCAACAATCTACAACTATGTAATGTGGCCATTCATGTGGCCCTTTTCTGTGAATCTCAGTGAGAGTGGCGAGCGACATTTATTCCATCTGAGCTCTGCGCGCTACCCAGCTAAGCAGGGCACTGGGTCCCAAGGTGTTCCGCTGGAGGCTGGGGATGTAGCTATGGGTACTACTGGGGAAACCGGGAGTGGTGCCTATCTTTTGGATTGGAAGGGCGACGTTAGACCAAGCACAAAAGTTCTGGCACAGTATCGGGAACAGAGGATACCGGAATTGGTTTGGGGTCATACAGAGAGTCTTATGGATAAGGCAGTGCGCCGATAGCATACCCAATAAAGCAATCCTTGATCTCTGTCACTTTTGTATGATTGTCTAGACACCTTTTTGGCGTAGTGGTTTGATGTCTGACAACACCTCATGGACCAAGTAATATCCTCGACTAATAAACTGTATATTGAGAAAATGTGTCAGCTTCCTCCGCATAATACAAATCGGCCACAAACTTCTGGTCAAATTAACTATTCATCCACTATCTCTAAGGCGCCTTGAAAGGCTCCGTTGGCGGCGCATTCGGCAAGCCCACCTCGACAAACGGCACCTCATCGACAACCGCCTTCATAATGGGCAAATGCATGACCATCATGTACCAGCCCGAAAAGTAGGGAAAGTCCTCCCTCCACTCCCTATCAAAGATCTGTGCAAACCCAAACGAGAGCAAGCTAGCACACATGATATCCGCCAGCGTCAGGCGATCGCCCACGAGATATTTACGGTCCCGCAGATTATCCTCGAAGACGCGGATGGCTTGCGTAGTCTCACGCTGCGCCTTGAGCACCTTCTCCTTGCTATAGGGCGTATAGCCAATCAATGGTCGGACCCAGGCTGCCATGCGGTTGACAACATCCGTGTTGGTGAAGGAGATCCAGCGGATGATCTGGACAAAGTCGAGGGAGGTGCTTCCCAGGAGGGTGGTCGTCGAGTCTTCGTTGGTCACTGCTCTTGTCGGTGTTATTTCATTGGAACTGATTCGGTAACATCCTAAATCAAAGCATCATAAATTGAAGTAAGTGAGGGCACGCACCGTGCAGGGCAATCGCCATACACTCCGTCAACACCAGTCCATCCGCGCCGACAAACGTCGGTGTCTTTCCCAGCGGGTTCAAGCTCCAGTAGTAGTCCGGGACACCGTTTGCCGGCTGCAGCTCGACTTGCTCCAGCTCCAGCCCAATAGATGTCGCGACCGCTTGGATTCCTAGCGCTCGGGGACTCCGCTGTGCGCCGGATTAGCCCTCGTCGACAAGATGTTGGGATTCTTCCGAAGCTTAAAGATGGCATGAGAACGGGACCGACCTTGTATGTATAGATTTTTCCGAAGCTCCCTCGCTCCTTCGCCTCTTTACTTCCATTCTGCTGCGGCATAGCCGGTGCGTCGAAAAGCATACTCGCGTTCACAGTCGAATGATGCGTTTTGAAAGACTTGTGGTGGACCAGGTGGAGAATTGCGCGTATTAGGAAATTCAATATGATTCTAATGCTATATATACAACACAAGGACACTAATATATTCATGCACCTTGATCGTCACCTTATGCGTCGGCGGGCGGATGGATCAACTCCGAGGCCGAAGGATCAGTCTACCGGCCCGCCGGGATCATACCAAATATTTGCAGATATTCATGGCTTTTCTTCTCAATAAGGCGATGTGGACCTCTTGAAGGCTGTCGGCGTCATGCTCCTCGACCACGAAATTGCACAGCTTCTGAGCATAAACCTATAGGTACAGTCATACCCTTCTCGGCGGAGTTGGTCCATCTCTCTCCGAAGAACGTCAGTGTCTCCTGGGACTCTTAGCAACGAGATGGTGCATTCTTCACCTCCCCCCGGTTGACTTCGTGCATATCAGCTCCTTCTGATCCAAGGCATCGCACGCCTGCTCCAGACGAGGATGAGACCCCCCAGCCGAAGGAGCAGTTCACAAGTCGCAACAGACACTGCGGGACTATTGGGATCTGCAAGAGTCGCTCCTCGCAGTTGCTCCATCCCGAGCACTGCCACCCGTTGGCTATTGAAGCAATGAGAGCGTTGTGAAGCACAGAGTCGAAGCTTGTAGTCGGGTTCTCTGCTGCGCGCCTCTGTGTAGCCAGGAAATGTTCCAGGGTAAATCTTTGACGGCCCATATCTGGCGTTTAACTGTCAGCTCGGGAAAGCCCTAAGCCATGTATGGCTCAGATCTCATTACGAAGTCCAATGAGATGATTGCAGCCTATGGCTAACCTGAATATGTATTGACAATTAATTCCCTTCTCCGCATTCTTAAAGAAAACTTGAACCCATGATATAACTTGCCGTAGACGACTGCATCGGACACGGTCAATGAGCGATAGATCCGTCTCTGTGATTGTTACCGTCCAATTGAGCATCTAGACCGTGTTTCCTGTAGTTCGTTGGCCGGTTGGCCATGCTAGTCGTTCCAATACATAGACAAACTGGCATGACTACAAACACGCGAATACGGAGGCTCAAGGCATTCCTTTCTAGGGACCTGAGCCCAGCGCCCGGTGCTATCGCAAAGGATTGCATTGCTCCTCCCGGGACGAAAGAACCAGCGGATCGATGATCCCTCCGTGCCGGTTCACTCCCTCTCCGTCGCCGACCGCAATAGTGAGCCTTGAGTGGTCCTTGACCATTGTACAGGCGGGTAACTTCGGTTGCCATCAAATATCTTGAATTCCCCGTCTAAATCGTCCTGAGCTACATGGTTTGCTTCTCCCTTACAGCCAGACGAACCATGACTCGCCCAAACGCTACTGATCTATGCACTCAAGCCTGCCAGCTGGTCCAACAGCTACGGACGAAAGATGGAGAGCTGGGCTTTATGTCCCCTGCAGTCTACGACACGGCCTGGGTCTCCATGGTCAAGAAGACGACACCAGAAGGTCCTCAATGGCTTCTGCCGGAATGTTTCGAGTACATTCTGCGGACGCAGCTAGAGGACGGCGGCTGGGAGACCTATGCCTGCGACATCGACGGTATCCTCAACACCGCAGCCTCCTTACTGGCCCTGGAGATCCATGCAGAAAGCCGGATTGCCCGCACTGATCCTCCAGTGGCAGAGATTAAGGAACGAATCGGGCGGGCCCGAGCGGCCCTCTCGCGAGAACTGCAAGCGTGGGATGTGAAAGATACCGTCCACGTTGGCTTTGAAATGATTTTGCCCGCGCTTCTACGGCTACTGCGCAAGAAAGGGCACGAGTTTGAATTTGACGGGCGAGCCGAGCTCGAGCGGCTGAATCGCATCAAGCTCTCCAAGTTCCGGCCGGAGTACCTGTACTCCGCCAGGACAACAGCGCTGCACTCGCTCGAGGCTTTTGTTGGTATGATTGACTTTGATAAAGTGGCGCACCAGAAGGTCAATGGCTCTTTCATGTTTTCGCCGTCCTCCACGGCCGCATTTCTCATGTTTGCATCCTCCTGGGACGATGATTGCGAACAGTACCTGCGATTAGTGTTGCAGAACGGCGCGGGATGTGGCAGTGGAGGAATGCCCAGCGCTTATCCCTCCAAGTATTTCGAGGTCTCATGGGTGAGCTGGCAGTTCGCATCGAATAGAACCAGTGCTAATGGGAACTTCAGGTTCTCACCACGCTTTTGGACAATGGATATTCGCCAAGTGATCTCGGTATCGAAGACACCGACAGCCTCGGCGAGATGCTTCGCAATGCGTTGGTCAAAGGAGGAGGTATTGTAGGATTTGGTAAGGCCTCCACAACCATGACCCTACCACTCTCTGTCATACGTTGTTAATGATTTTGTTGTATAGCTCCGTCGATCCAGGCGGACGCCGACGATACCGCAAAAGCGCTGATGACTGTGTCCTTGCTGGACAAACCACTATCGGCCCAGGGGCTGATAGATGAATTCGAGGGCCCGACTCACTTCCGCACCTATCACGGCGAGAGAGATCCCAGCTTTACGGCAAACTGCAACGTATTGATGGCGCTTTTGAACAGTCCGGACGCGTCCACTTTTGCACCCCAGATCGAAAAAACAACGGCCTTCCTGTGCGACGTCTGGTGGACTGCAGACAGTGAGATTGGGGATAAATGGGTAATTACTTCATTTTTCGCAATGAACACGAAAACTAGAAGATCACTGATTCTCTTAGAACCTCTCGCCGTACTATCCCTCCATGCTCATGGCTGAGGCCTTTGGGAAGCTGCTGCAGGTGTGGTCGAACGACGGGCTCAAGTCGATTTCCAGTCAGTTTATCAGAGATCGAGTGTCGATCTGCCAGTATCAGGCATTAGTTCGCACGCTACAGTCTCAGAACGAGGACGGATCCTGGGGCTCGCACTCTCACGAAGAGACGGCATATGCCATCTTGACCATCGCTCACGCATGCCAGTTGCCCGTGGTGAATCAACTGTGGACAAATGTTCAATCGGCTGTGTCTCGAGGCCGCAAGTTCCTGCAAAACAGCGCAGGCGAAAAACCGGAGTATCTGTGGGTGGAGAAGGTGACATATGGCTCGATTCTCCTCAGTAAGAGTTATGTCCTAGCGGCGCTGAAGGTTTCCTGCGAACGATCTTATCCAGCTTGTCTGGCGGAGTTGTTCAACATCAGCAAGAAGAGGGTTATGGAATTCGCACGCTTCAACTCTATGCTTCCCCTGTTTTCCGGTATGGAGCCCTGGAAGATTCGAGCTGCCGTCGTAGAGGGTTACCTGCTCCTACCACAGCTGCGCGACCGACGTCTTGCTGTCTTCCCTCGCACGGGCATGGAAGAGGACAAGTATTTTGAGTACATCCCTTTCACCTGGACCCTGTGCAATAATCGCAGGAACACCTTTCTCTCCACGAAATCACTTGTAGAGATGATGGTGATTTCGTTCCTTAATTACCAAGCCGATGAATTCATGGAAGCGGTGGTCGGAAGACTCAACAGCAGCCAGAGATCCATGGCCCGGTCCTGCATCGACGAGATATTCCTCGACCTCAAGGACAATACGGAAATGAACGAGAAAATGCAGCCTGATACAGAGACCACAGACAAAAACGGCTACAAGACCCTGCCCCAAGTCAAACGAACCAAGACGGGGTCGCGACTCCCGAGCGAAGTGGCAACCGTCCTCAGCGCCTTTGTCCACCACGTCATGAATCATCCCAGCGTGGAGGCCGCAGCACCCCTCGAGTACAAGCGAGTCAAGGACGAGCTGAAAATATTCCTGCTGTCGCATATCAAGCAGGCAGACGACAACGGCCGCTTCGCTGCCCAGCCGGAGTCCACCCGCGACAACTTCGAAACCGCCCGCTCCAGCTTCTACCGATGGGTGTACTCCACCTCGTCCGACCACACCTCCTGCCCCTACTCTTTTGCCTTCTACCAATGCCTGCTGGGATCCGAGCACGCGTCCAGCGACGCCGCGTGCTTCCGGACCTGCGAAGAGAAATATGTTGCCGAAGCAATGTGCCGCCATCTCGCCGTGACGTGCCGCATGTACAACGATTACGGGTCTCTTGCCCGTGACCGCGACGAGAAGAATCTCAACTGCGTCAACTTTCCTGAGTTCGCCCCGGCCGGGCCAAAATCGGATGCGGTCCGGCAGAAGCAGCTGTTCTCGCTCGCCCAGTTTGAGCGGTCGAATGTGGAACGAGGCTTGGAGGTATTGACGGAAATGGCGGCGCAGGATAGAGCCAGGATGAGGGTTCTGGAGAAGGTGCAGATGTTTTGCGATGTGACGGATTTGTACGGGCAGATTTACGTGGCGAGAGATATTGCTACTCGAATGTAAATAGATAGCTTGCTTGGTTTGGGCCAATACTAGCACATATGAATTGTTTAGACTTGAAGTACCTGCACAACGCGCAGTAACTCTTCTGTCACTTTCTGGATCTATATGCCTCGTATTCTAACCTTTTCCCCTTTTCACATTGGTGAATCAAGACCTGGGCCTATCTCTGCCTGGAATTCATCGTCAGATGCCAGAGGGCCATGGGGAAGCTCGGACTCTTTATTAAGGAAGAGGAAATATAAATAGATTAGATAGTCACCAAGGGCTTACATAGTATTAGACTAGAAATTGTGAAGTTATAGCAGATACTCCATAGCCTGCCTTGCTATATTCATGCCTTGCTATATTTCTATATTCATTTATAGAGAGCTTCGGCCAGGCTTTGCTGAGGGGTTCGCCAGTGATGTAGTCAGGAGATATCGTAACCTGCTACGAACTCTATGGGTTCTGACTCCGCAATAGCTTCTGCCAGGTACAACTGTTCTCCACCGGCCTCTCTTCCATAATCTCCCGCTTCCACTTCTGCTGCAGTACTCAATCACCGATAAGAACAACCCAAACAATGCCCCTCCAAATCCTTAATGGAGAACCCCCGTCGCCCCCCGCCTGGGGCACCCTCCCACTGAACATCTACCTCCTCTCGGAATGGGATACTTCGCGTTCATCTTACCTCGCCGAGGCTTCGCAGCACCCCGTCCCTGAGTCCCCGTCTGACCGGCGTAGTCGGCTTATTCGCCAATTCCTTGCGCTGGGGAGTGCGGGACGTCAGGTATTTACCCTCCCAAATTCCTATTTTGACGCCTAACATCTGACGGAAAAAACAGCCCTACCAGTCACAAACCGAAACTCCACCAACACCTACAAACAGTCAAATAACCGAAATCTTACGTCCCGCGCGTCCCGAGTCGCTGCGGCCCTACGCTGAGTACACGGGCTCCCTAGACGAAGGACTTTATCTCCGTCTGTGCTACGACGCAGACAAAGAAGAGGCGCATAAGTCCCTATGGTCGCGGAACCTGGACGCGGCTTTCGTCGGGCCCGACGGCATCATCTTCGACGATAAAGAGCTTTTCGGCGGCGAGGGAATAAACCTGGCGAGGTTCTTGGAAACTTTTCCGGAGAGGGTCACAAATGCGGGGTCAGTTGCACATGTTGAGCATCGTGAGACAGTTCTCAGGGATACTTTAAGGAGGATTCAAGAAGATGGAGGGAATACTGAAGCTGAAGGGGAGGACGGATTCCCCGAAGAAGTCAAGGACCCGCTGCTTCAGTATGGAGAATATCACGCTGCTTGTGTCGTGACACATCTGTTTATTGAAAATGAAGAGGCTCTTGATGGTAATGGATTGCTGCATGTGTTTTTAGATGACACTGGGAATGTGGTTAGGCACTGGAGGACGGATGATGAAGGGGGAGACTATGATTTTGATGGCACGTGGAAGGAGGGGAATTGGAAGGAGGATTTTGTGAGCGGGAAGGGAGAGCTCGGGGCTGCTTATCGGGAGGGAGGTGTTAGGGGGCCGCCCTATGAGCTTTAGATGATACGATACTTCAAATGCCTTAGTGCTATCGATGGCACATGAATTGTCTTTTCTTGCCAGCTGGCTACATTGAAGCTGCAAATGCCGACCGCTTGAGTCTTAGATGTCACGATGACACGAGTCGGAATAACCGTAGTTCTGAATCTGATTGATGGATGGTCAGACCAAAGTTCATAAAACCAACAACATACGTCAAGACCAGAAGGGATCAGCCTCACTTGATCAAGTCGACGACGCCAAGCATTTGGACTCGTAGTTGCACGCGTTGATACGAGAGTCTTATCAATATCGATGATGATAATGATGATAATCCACTGTTCCCCCCTCCGATATCGTTCATGACCTGATTCGTTCCTACCCAATCGGGAAGGACAGCGTGCGTCCCCGCAACCAAAATTAGACTCAATCGGGCATAGTGCTGTCACCGAAGGGCGCGCACTAACCCAGACATGCAGATGACTCAGGCATAGTTTCGGACTTCGCGCGTCCCTCTCCGAACGGGCAACCTTCTTTCCAGGGATTGGGAGCCGTCATGACAGTGACACGCTCGCTCTCCGCTGCCGTCCATGGGAAACGCTGTGGCTGCTCAACCCTGGAAAGTGTGGAAACAGGTGGCCCTTGACCATGCAGTTTGGCGGGGTTCAGAATTATCGGTCATGCCTCCTAGGCCGAACGTGATCATCAGTCCTAGACAACCCACCGGTGACTGAGCAATCAAAATTAATGCTCACAGAGTAGGCTATCTGGATCCTTGCTAGTCGACTGCCTCCTAGACGATTGTTCCCACTCCCAAGCGTCCAGTCCAAGCGATTTTCTGCACGGTGGTCAGAACAAAGAGTGCTTGACTTGGGTCCGTGGTCGGTACTTCGGCATGCTTCTGATACCCCAGACGAAGACACCTAATATCGGACCTTGCCTACTGGACTGTCTGACCTCTTCCCTCTCTCAGCTCCTCCATCCACTCTGAACTTTTCAATCATACACCTGCTCTCACTCTACCTCGTTTCTATTCCCATATTGAGTCGACTCGAACAAACACTGTTAACCTCGATTAGTCGAGGTCGATCAACCAGCACTGACTCAGTACGGCATTGGTGTCGGAGTGAAGTATTACTGAAAATGGAATACTTCGATTTCGACGGAGCCTCATTCGGTTCCCATGTCCCAGACGACGAGGTGGCTTCGGACAGGTTTGAGCTCGATGAGAACGATGCAATTGAAAACTACGAATCCCTTCTACATGAGCAGCCATTAGACTTTCCCAATGATCTGCCGGAGCAGGATGATCTCAACCAGCAGACGGAAGCTCCGTCAGTCAATGCGCAATCCAACAATGCTCTTCCAATCTATCGAGCCAAGGAGCCCTGCGACTTCTGCAGGCATATGAATCTGGACTGCTTCGTTTCAGACAGAGGAGCCTTACAGAATGGCTGCACGTGCTGCATAATATTGTTCCGGGAGTGCAGCTTCACGCACGCCAAGATGCCTGGCAAGTACATGGAAACTCTCCAGGCGATCTCAGAGAACGCAGATATTCCAACAGTTGGTCCAAAGGGGAGGAAGACGCTGAAATCACTTACGGGTATGACCATATCGGAAGATATGGAAGGCCGGGGGAGGAAAAGCAGTTCTCGTCTTTCCCGCGATGCCGTACGGATCCTCAAAACATGGCTTCTGGAGCACCTTGACCATCCTTACCCGTCCGAGCAAGAAAAAGACGAATTGAAAAAGCGCACGGGATTGAAGAGAACTCAAATTAGCAACTGGCTTGCCAATGCGAGGCGGCGTGGAAAGGCCCGACCCTCCCCGTCCAGCAATTCGTCGGTTCCAGGTGCCATAAACATTCCCGGGCAGCAACAGCAGCAGCAACCGAACATTGCGCTCATGACGCCCCTTGAGCGATGGAAGTACTCTCCACCCGAAAACGAACCTGCTTCCACCACCGATATTCTTCGAGCCCTGGTGAACACCCCTTTGGATTCAACACGACAGCCAGGTCACGTGCGTTCCCTTTCTCGGAAGGGATCCAGCAATGACTCAAGCCATGCCAACTCCAATATATTCAAGGCCCCATCCATCAGCAGCTTGGGTGAAAGTCGGTCAGCCAGTCGTTCATCCGTCTCTGACCTGTCCTTTGCCTCTGCCTTCTCCCATCGGTCCTCCTTGGAGTCCTTTGGCTCAATGGAAAGGAAGGAACGTCGTCGTCGTCGCAAGCCATCGACAGCCTTGAACCCTTTCAATCAACAGAAGGCTCGCAGTTCTCGTATATTCCAATGCACATTCTGTACTGAAACGTTCGCTACCAAGTATGACTGGCAGCGGCACGAGAAGTCATTGCACCTTGCCCTCGACAAATGGATCTGCTCACCTCAGGGAGGTGTGGTGTACGTCAACGGAGCCAATCGCTGTGTCTTTTGCATGGCGAGTGACCCAGACACCGAGCATCTGGAGTCCCACTGCTATAGTACCTGTCAAGAGAAGACTCTGGCGGAGCGAACCTTTTACCGCAAGGACCATCTCAACCAGCATCTTCGACTGATGCATAACGTCAAGTTCAATTCATATATGAATCAATGGCAAAGCACAACCACAGAATTGAAATCGCGTTGCGGATTCTGTGGCACAACCCTCACGACCTGGAAGGATCGTGTGGAACACCTGGCTGCGCACTTCAAGAATGGCGCTGATATGACCCAATGGCAAGGGGATTGGGGCTTCGAACCTTTCGTTCAAGGCTTAGTGGAAAATGCTATGCCCCCTTACCTTATTGGCCAAGATCGGAAAACATTAAACCCTTACACAACCTCCAATTTTCTCGGACAGTCATGTTGTTCGCCAACTACTGCGTCTCCTGGGCTCATTGAACCTAGCGACGTGAACTGTTTCCATCGTCTTCAGCGCGAGCTCACTGCATTCATCCGCAAGCAAGTTGCAGAAGGCTTCATACCGACGGATCAAATGATACAGGACCAAGCCCGGATTGTGATTTATGGCAATACTGATCCTTGGAACCAAACCAGCGCCGACAATCCAGTCTGGCTGAGTATCCTCAAGCGTGACACGGGTCTTGAAGTGGTGCCTGACTCGGAGCATATTCAATTAGATAACCTGAACATGCAGCCTCCCTTCGCGGCTCACGGCGGCCTAAGGCAGCCTCCAGTCGAAGGCAATCCTCTGGCAAGGTCGTTATGCAACAAGATGCCTTTGAAACCTGAGAGTTTCAGTCCTGCACTGCGAAGTCCTACTGGGACCGGTCGATCCTCAGCTGCTCCGAGTATGCCGGGAAGCTCGGCTGCTAGTTTTACTGGTAGCTTCGGAATTGCGCCGTCTGGGGTCAATTCCGGCCTTTCGACCGACTGGGGAAGCAACTTCTCTGCCGGTGTTTCTTCTTTCTCCACACCTGCCAGTGGGTCAGTCGACCAATTCGTTCAGATGGGATTCGAACCGGAGTTTCTGCAA